TTTGGCCTCTACCAATTTTCGCTCATGCCTTTCGTCTTAAGAAATTATGCACAAATATTCCAGAAATTGATCGATGACGCTTTTCAAGGTCTCAACTTCGTACATGTGTATATTGATGACTGCTTGATAGCAAGTCCAGACAGAGAATTTAATCTCCAGTATCTAGACCTTGTCTTCAAACGAATGCAAAAATATAGCATTACTGTAAACAATCAGAAATGTCAAATAGGCGCCGAATCCCTGGACTTTCTCGGACATATTATTGATGTTCAAGACATCCGACCTCCAAAATACAAAGTGGTGGCCATCCTGGATTGCCCAGAACCGATTACAATCAAGCAACTATGTACGTTTAACGGCCTAGCAAGTTTCTATAGACGGTTCATACCGAGTTGAGTGTCTCTTATAAAACTTTTACCTGGTAAATTTCGTGGAAATGAGAAGTCTATCAATTTGGACGACATCACGATAGAAGAATTCCCCACAATTAAGGAACTTGTCGCCAAAAAAACATTGCTCACACACCTGGACACCGTAGCATCTATTAGTGTCACATCAGACCCGGCAATCAAAGGAGTCTTACAACATTGGGTTAGCTATACCTGACAATCTTTAGCATTTTTCTGGAGACGGTTGCCAGAGACTGGATCGAGGTATAGTACTTCCGGTAGGGAACTGCTAGTCATTTATTGTGCTGCACGGCACTTCAAACACTCCGTGGAAGGCCAAGGATTCAAATTTTTCACCGATCACAAACCTCGTACCTTTACTTCAAGCTCATTTTCAGACAAGTATTCCCCCGGGATTCTCGACAACTGGACTACATTTTGCAGTTTACTTCAAACATACGACATATTTGTGGGGAAAACAATGTAGGTGCAGACGGTTTGTCTCATATAACTTTATTGAACAGTTTCCGAGGAGTCAGCCTTCTTAAACTCGCCCAGCTTCAAAAAGGAGACACTGATCTTCAGCATGAGTTATCCTCAACAACCCTTAATCTGTGCATTAAACAGATGGGAACAGGTAAGAAAACCTTACTACGTGACACATCTACAGGTAGGGATCTCCCAATCAAGCTAATAGCAGAACGGTGTTGCTGATCTGGTATGAATAAAGACGCGAGGGAGTGGGCACGCTCCTATGTAAGCTGCCAAAAGTCTAAGGTGATTAGACAAAACAAATGTCCCTTAGGCTCTTTCAAAACTCCTGATGCTCGTTTCGACTATGTTCATCTGTATTTGGTAGGACCTTTACCAGATTCAAATGGATACTCTTATTTCTTAACTTGTGTAGACCATTTCACTCGATGGCCAGAAGCAGTACCTATCAAGGACATTATTGCTGAAAAAGTGGCCTGCGCCTTCGTCGAACGATGGGTAGCGAATTTCGGCTGCTTTTTAACTACCTCCACAGACCGCGGACGCCAGTTCGAAAATGGACTTTTCCGTTGTCTGACCACACTACTAGGAATCACACGCTTCCGAACAACCGCCTACCACCCACAAGCAAACGGGTTGGTAGAACATTTTCACCGACAACTAAAAGTTTCACTGTCAGCTGCAAACGTTTCACAGTGGACCGACGCTCTTCCACGTGTATAACTAGGTATTCGCAACGCAGTGAAAGCTGACATTGGATACACGGTCGCTCAACTCGCTTATGGAACGACACTCTGACTTCCAGGAGAATTTGTGGATCCTTCATCTTCTTGAATGAATATGAATCCAAACTCCTACACGAGTAGGCACACAAACTCCATGCGTTCAGTCGAACGTTTTTCCATTTGACAGCAATCAACTGATGTTTTCGTTCAAATCGCCCTAAGATATAGTACACACGTCTTTGTACGTCGTAACTCACTTCTACGACCTCTCGAAACGACGTACGAAGGACCCTTCAAAGTCCTTCAGCGTGAACCCATGTGCTGTATAATCAATAAGAACGGAACTAATGATAGCATCAGCACCGATCGCCTCAAAGCCGAGTATTGCGAAGGAGATCCTAGTCATGCCGATTTTCCTTCGGTACAATCGAACAACACGAGTCTCAGAACTACGGTACCTCACCTGATAATCAACGATCACGACGATAATTCGGTGGTATTTCACAACCAACTTAGAACAGAGCGCTTTGGAAGAAGATGAAGGTTTCCAGAACACCTAAACGATTTCTGTACGTAAGACACTTTATAACATTTTGTTTCGTCACTATTTTTTGTATTACTTACACCTGTTACCCCTCGTGAAGGAGCACAGACCGCACGCCAGTTTTCTCCAACCAACTCTGTCCTGGGCAATCCTTTCCAGTTGTTGTTCATTCTTTTCATTTTTGCTTTTATTTCCCGGCATAACGTGATCTTTGGCCTTCATCTTTTCCGCATCCCCTCAGGATTCAAAGTTAGGGATTGAGTCGTGATGCACATTGGTGATTTCCTTAATGTATGTCCAATCCACTTCCAACGTCTTTTCCTAATTTCCTCTTCAGCTGGAAGCTGGTTTGTCCTCTCCCATAAAACGCTGTTGCTGATAGTATCCGGCCAATGGATGTTGAGTATTTTGCGTAGACAACTATTTATAAATACTTGTACCTTCCTGATGATGGTCGTAGGAGTTCTCCACGTTTCAGCTCCGTACAGTAGGACTGTCTTGACGTTCGTATTAAAGATTCTGACCTTGAAATTGGTTGAAAGTTGTTTTGAGTTCCATATGTTCTTCAGTTGTAGGAATGTGGCCCTTGCTTTGCCAACCCCCACTTTTACATCTGCATCCGACCCTTCTTGTCCATTGATGATGCTTCCTAGGTACATGATAAATTCCACATCTTCCAGAGTTTCGCCATCAAGTGTGATTGGATTGGCGTTCTCCGTGTTGTATTTGGGAATCTTGCATTTTCCTTTGTGTATGCTGAGGCATATTGATGCAGAGGCTATTGCTACATTTGTTGTCTTCGTCTGTATTTGTTCGTGTGTCGCTAACATGTTTGCTTATATGCATGTTTTTTTTTAAAAAACAACCCAAAAGTCAGCCTGCGAAAATCGTTTTTACTCTATCGCATATTTACCAAACACATGTGTATAAGTTTATTTTCCATTTTTCAGCCCTTTTATTTCTCTACGCACGTGCGAGTGCAATAAGATGTCCATTCACATATTTTTTTCCTTTTACAGGATGGCTGCAAAAGATGAAACAAACTACGATTTTTTACGATTATTCGAGGTTTTCATTGTACCTGATTTTCATTACAATATTATACTACATAATCTCACAAAACTAAGGAAAAACGACCAGATGCCACTGAACATATCAAGATATCAGCAGAATGTTAACCAGCGAAAAAGCAGTTGAGTTTAAAATTCGACCTGGTCACGTCTTAGGTACATCATTACAGCAAAAAGTGGCGGTTGATTTGTAGCGGTAAATAAATTCCCAAAATCAATAGCTCTGTATGTCTTCGAAATTTGATGCTCACCGCATTTGTTTCACTGCACTCACCTCGCTGTAGCACTCAGCCATGAATCCACACCAGATCACGAGTGGGCATATTGTGCCATATATCTCTTAAAACAACCAGACAGCTCAAATTGATTGCTCCTCGATATATATATATATATATATATATATATATATATATCTCCGAACCTCTTCGCCTCTGACTTCTGATTTGACTGGGATGGTATATTTCGATTATAAGACGTGTTACTGGTTAAGGTATTGTCAAACTCTGAATACTCGTGGCATTTTTAAGTCACTCGGATAACGAGGAAACTAGATTGTGAACACACAATTCAATCAAACAATCTCTCAGTTTCTTATCTTTCATTTTATTCGATATCATGCGTTTAGCCAATGAAACTTAAAGTCAGTACATCAATGTATGTGTATGTTAATTTGGTCACATAACTATTATGGAAATCATTAGGTCAGAAAATAATATTCTGTTAACTACTGTGCTGACCAATCAATATTAAGTTGATGAAATTTGGTCATAAAATATATGATTGTCACTGAATATAAATGAAGAAACAATTTATTTGGGGTCAGACGGTTAATTTTTTTCGTAAAGTGAGTTATCGCTATATTGATTCTCCATTGTGACTAATTTGGGGTATTTTTCTCGTTTGATTATTCCGAATGTAAATTTTAAGTGACTCTATGTAATCACTTATGAATAAAAGTTAGTGATGAATGGTAGTCCCAGAGTGAACATCAACTCTGAGATGCAGGCACATCCAGCTGACGAGTCCCAAATAGGACGAAACGCGCGTCCTGGATTCCACTGCTAGCCACTATCCATCTCTGCTAACCATGCTTGTGAATTAAGGTATATCGAGGCAATACGCACAGTATGTACATATGCCAATTAGAGACTAACCAGTTGCAGTCCTAAAAACATCAATGGGAAGATTCAAACAAACAATACTAAGTTGAATGGTAGTTAGTTTAATAAAATAATCTTTCACTTGTGATTATACTATAATTGGCATTTCATTCACCACATATATTGTACCATTTTATTTATTTCTCTGATAAATGGTTATACTTAGTCGGTTACTGAAAGCAGTAAGCCTAATTTGCTAGAGGTGATGACTTAAATTCTATGGTCTTCTAAATTGATTTTATGTACAATTGCAAGTCGAGACCAGTAATCGTGAAGGATTCACACCTGATTCATCAAAATCATTTTATTCAGTGGTACTGTATAACCAATCCACTCAGTCTCCCTCTACTATCTAAATGCATTTGCCTAATCTAGACAATGAACCACTTACTGACTGAATGGTGCATATGTATAAACGTATGAGATTGTTGCTTCATAATTTATTAAGTTGTAGTATCCTTCTACTCTGTACATGTATACATGTATCCCATATTTCACTCTACTAAGATCTCACTTTTCTTTTGAATTATTGACGAGATCATGATTTGGATTTTAATGTTCTTACTGAGATTTACATTTTCAGTTGATCAATTAACTCCTGCTTTCAAAACTAATCAGTTATGTCAAAGTATCAGTCAAAACTGGATGTTGAGAAAACACAAGAAGCAATAAAGTTTCTAAGGAATTGTTTCCAGAAACAATTGTCAGCGAAACTAAATTTATTACGCGTATCTGCCCCACTATTTGTACCAGCCAACAGCGGATTACAGGATGATTTATCCGGTGAGGAACGTGCAATTATGTTCGACGTTAAATCTGGTGAGACAGCACTTATTAATCAATCCTTGGCCAAATGGAAACGTATGGCATTACACAAATATAAGCTAAATCAATACGATGGAATTTACACAGATATGAATGCGATCAGACGTGATGAAGTTGTCTCTCCACTTCACTCATATTATGTAGACCAATGGGACTGGGAGATCATTATTCAGAGAGATGAACGAAATGACAAGAAGTTGGAGGAAGTAGTTGAGAAGATATATGACTGTATGAAAGTAACTGAAAACATTTTGGTATCGGCATACCCAGTGTTAAATCGCAAGTTACCGGAAAATATTAAATTCATTACAACACAAGAGTTAGAAGATATGTATCCCGACAAAAAACCTACAGAACGTGAATATCTTGCAGTTAAACAGTATGGGGCTGTTTTTCTCAAACAGATCGGAAAGCTTTTGAAATCCAATACGATACACGATAATCGAGCCCCAGACTATGATGACTGGGAATTGAATGGAGATATACTAGTGTATAGTGAACATGACGATAGATGTATAGAATTGTCGTCAATGGGTATCCGAGTGGATGAGTTATCAATGGAGAGACAGTTGAAAGAAAGCGGTTGTGAAGCACGGAAACAGCTTGAATATCATCAAAATGTTCTGAATGGTATATATCCATTAACGATAGGTGGTGGAATAGGACAGAGTCGATTGTGTATGTTCTTTATGGAGAAGAAACATATTGGTGAAGTGCAAGTTAGTATATGGCCTGAACACGTTCGTCGTGAATGTGAACAGAATAATATATTTCTCTTGTAAACTGAAAGAAACCATGTTCTCATAACTTTATTGTTGAAAAGAATGTGAAGTGCATGAATATTAATTGTATATGGGTTTTCATAAATGCTGTCCTTTCAATGTTTGTGTGATTTTGATTTTCTTGTGTTTCCGACTATGACAATGGCGAAATAAATACTGTTTCAGATAATCGTTAAATGAGTGAATAGAGTTTTCACGTAATTGGATTGTGTGAGTGAATTATTTTCTATATATCCCTACTTCACTAAATTCACTTGTGCATAACATTACATGTATTGAGTGGAAGCACTGAATTGTAGTGTTTTTATATTGAGTGATAACAAATAGAAACAGTAGATTCAGGATTTCCTATCGACTGATTTTCACAATGAAACGTTGCAACTGGCATAAGTAACTGCTATGTCTATTTTACAAATGAACCAATAAGTTCCAATGTAAAGTCGCACTACGAATATCATAACTGTGTCGAGGTCCATGCTCATCTAGCTGAGAAGTGTAGAATAGACTGATGAGTAACAATCGCGTTCCTTATCGAATATTTTCAGAGTGTAACTAAGTCATATCGAAGAATACATATTAGAAGCTCATGTGTTGAAAGTGGTCAATTGTTTCTATCCCAAAGATTCACAGCACCACAAAATCATAAAGGCAGCATCAACTGGGAAACAGGTTGTCTAGTAATTAGATGGATTGTTTAATTTTATTATAAGCGAATGAAAATAGATAGAGAGGATGAGTCAGCATTGCTGAACTATGATTTTGCAAATCGTTTTAATATCATTGAATTGATGTGATGTGCAAATTCAACTCAATTTTAGTTACGGAATCCACTCAGACTGTACGGCTATATGATATGGAGCAAACTGAACACTATTCATCGGATATTTAGGTTTGTAGTGGTAAATAAATCCCCGAAATCAATAGCTCTGTATGTCTTCGAAATTTGGTGCTGACTGCATTTGTTTTACTGGATTCACCTTGTTGTAGGCACTCAGCCATGAATCCACACCAGATCACGAGTGAGCATATTGTGCCATATATCTCTTAAAACAACCAGACAGCTCAAATTGATTGCTCCTCGATATATATATATATATATATATATATATATATATATATATATATATATATATATATATATATATATATCTCCGAACCTCTTCGCCTCTGACTTCTGATTTGACTGGGATGGTATATTTCGATTATAAGACGTGTTACTGGTTAAGGTATTGTCAAACTCTGAATACTCGTGGCATTTTTAAGTCACTCGGATAACGAGGAAACTAGATTGTGAACACACAATTCAATCAAACAATCTCTCAGTTTCTTATCTTTCATTTTATTCGATATCATGCGTTTAGCCAATGAAACTTAAAGTCAGTACATCAATGTATGTGTATGTTAATTTGGTCACATAACTATTATGGAAATCATTAGGTCAGAAAATATTATTCTGTTAACTACCGTGCTGACCAGTCAATATTAAGTTGATGAAATTTTATGAGGATTTAGCTTGCTTTAAGTCCACTTTATTTTATGGCTGGCAACAATTCAAGAATATACATGTTACCACATATCACCTACTAACAATGCAGCACAGTGACTGTTTGACGAGACTAAGAAATGATGAAACCTTGATGATAGGCAAACCAGGTAAGCGAGGATATATAGTTTTGATGAACTAAAAGGATTACATTGATTAAATGGAAGCGATGCACAGTGATCCTAGCAAATTTATAAAATTTACTAGTAATTATGACATCAATACAAATGTAGAATAACATTTGGCAAATTCTCTAAAGAAAAAGGGAATAATTAGGTCAGAGATTCTTGATTCCATTAAATCGACTGGATCATTTACACGACGACTGTACGGTTTGCCTAAAATTCATAAACCGGATCTTCCTCTGCGCTCATTTCTAGATATGTACTATTTTCCTTATCACAAAATCTTAGAGCCATTGCACAAATCTGTGTAAAAGATGTTTTCGTCTTCACTTCTAAAGTGGAAAATATGAATGTTAGCATAAAAAATAAGTTCTCACTGGATGTAGTATCTTTGTTTACCAACGTACCACTTATCGAGACTATTGAGTTTATAAACAAGGAAATATCAGAAAAACAAATTAACATTGGCTTGCCTGAGGATCGTCTGAAGGAACTGCTCTTAAAACGTACGCTGAATGTCCATTTTGTATTCAACAATACTTATTATAGACAAATAGACGGGATAGCCATGGGCTCACCTCCATAGCAAAGCTAGAAAATTGACCACTTAATGAGGCTATTAAGAAGCTTGATCTATATTGCCTGTACATCGACGACACATTCATTATCGTAGATCAGAACACCAGTAAGGATAAACTCCTAGAACAGCTCAACAGTGTACACCCAGCGGTTAGTTTCACTGGTGCAGGCAAGTGTGACAAAAAGCTGGATTTCCTTGACGTCATACTAAGCAGGCGAAGTGATGGCTCTTTAAATAGAAGTGTGTATAGAAAAAGTCCCTGTCTGCCATTATACTCACTTCTATAGCTTTACACCTATCCGATATAAGAGAAATTTGATTAGATGGCTCAATCGTAGAGCAAAAAAGATCTATTCAGTAGATAATTTAAGTCATGAGCTGACATTTATCAATAACTAATTGACAGAGATTGGCTACCCTAGCATGATGCAGGAAAGAAGTCTGAGATTTCAACTGTTCGAAAAAAACCTTGATACATGAAACTACAATTCAACGGGGATGTGGCTCGAGATACTTTGAAAAATAGGTTAACGAAAGTAATTAGCTGGACACTCTAAGTTACCTGAGTTGGCCTCCTCTATATGCATTTACAAGTTCAGCTGCTTCTGTGAAGATAACTATATAGGGCGTACTACCAGGCAACTTAACCAACGAATGAGTGAACATCCGCAAACATGGTTTGGGATGGATCAGATAAAAACAATATGCAGTTCTATCTTGGCACATCTAATTGATAGTGCTCATAATGTAGATAAATCGAAATTATTTCGAGTGATCTGTCGTATACGTCCATCATTTCCCAACGGAGTTCGTTCCCGTCTCCTTTATATAGCTGAAGCCATAGGAATTCGTATATTTCACCCCAATTTATGTGTACAGAAGAAATTTGTAACCCCCGTTCCCTTCCATGGCCGGATATAACTTAACAAATGACATTATTATTAATTATCAGAAGGGGTTTTGTGGAGATTTAGTATGTTTCATAGTTGAAAGCATGAGTCAATTGAAGTCAATTGAGATAGGAACTCACTGATGACAATTGGTGAATGGTTGCTCAACTTCGTGGATCAGTTGAAGTTAGACATTAACACCGTTGGAGCCAGCTCAGTGGTCTATAGGTTAAGGGCTCTGGCATGAGACTGGTAGGTCCTGGGTCCGAATCCCGCGAGCGCGTTCGTGGATGCGCACTGCCGAGGAGTCCCATAATGGGACGAAACGGCCGTCCAGTGCTTCCAGGTTTTCGATGGTGGTTTGGCTTCAATTGACTCATGCTTTCAACTATGGGACATTATTATTATTATTTGTAAAATTTATTTTCATTATCTTAATTTTGTTATCATTTATTTCTATGTTTCCGCCACTTTCCGTTTGTATTCTTCACTATTTAATTATTTACATACCGGTCTAGCTTCAATCGACTCATGATTTCAACTTTGAAATATACTGAAATCTCCACAAATCCCCTTCTGTTTACATACTTCTTATTACGTAACGATTTTGATGTATTGTGATGACTATTCTATGTCTATTTACCTACGTTTGACCTCTTAATTCTTATGTTTAACTATTGATAAGACTTTTGTTATCGTAATTTATTATCTCTCAGTCCACCTATCTTCCCACTATCAACTTAAACTTTTACCTATTATGTTCGATGACGTAATCTATTTCATTGTGATTATTGACTCAAATAGCCTTAATTGGTCTAACATTTTCATATAAATATTCATGTATATTAGAGTAGAGCCTGATCTGATTGAAAACAATCGTTCGCTTACATGTGTTGTTTTAGTTTTCATAATGGGAATCTTTAATATTCATAAAATATATGATTGTCACTGAATATAAATGAAGAAACAATTTATTTGGGGTCAGACGGTTAATTTTTTTCGTAAAGTGAGTTATCGCTATATTGATTCTCCATTGTGACTAATTTGGGGTATTTTTCTCGTTTGATTATTCCGAATGTAAATTTTCAGTGACTCTATGTAATCACTTATGAATAAAAGTTAGTGATGAATGGTAGTCCCAGAGTGAACATCAACTCTGAGATGCAGGCACATCCAGCTGACGAGTCCCAAATAGGACGAAACGCGCGTCCTGGATTCCACTGCTAGCCACTATCCATCTCTGCTAACCATGCTTGTGAATTAAGGTATATCGAGGCAATACGCACAGTATGTACATATGCCAATTAGAGACTAACCAGTTGCAGTCCTAAAAACATCAATGGGAAGATTCAAACAAACAATACTAAGTTGAATGGTAGTTAGTTTAATAAAATAATCTTTCACTTGTGATTATACTATAATTGGCATTTCATTCACCACATATATTGTACCATTTTATTTATTTCTCTGATAAATGGTTATACTTAGTCGGTTACTGAAAGCAGTAAGCCTAATTTGCTAGAGGTGATGACTTAAATTCTATGGTCTTCTAAATTGATTTTATGTACAATTGCAAGTCGAGACCAGTAATCGTGAAGGATTCACACCTGATTCATCAAAATCATTTTATTCAGTGGTACTGTATAACCAATCCACTCAGTCTCCCTCTACTATCTAAATGCATTTGCCTAATCTAGACAATGAACCACTTACTGACTGAATGGTGCATATGTATAAACATGTGAGATTGGTTATTTAGTATTGTTTGTTTGGATCTTCCCATTGATGTTTTTAGGACTGCAACTGGTCAGTCTCTAATTGGCATATGTGCATACTGTGCGTATTGCCTCGATATAGCCTTA